TGGCCAGATCAAGGTAGGCAACTTTACAAACAAAATTGTCTCAAAGGTTACTTGAAACACAGAATAAGGTACTTTGGGTAGAAACATGTAAGTAGAAGTGTAGGAATGTGTTCCAGTTAGCAATAAATTATGGTAGCAATGATTGATATATGAAGTCCAGTAATCAAAATCTTCATAGATTAGTTATGTGCATTCACCAATTCTTTTTTTTTTTTTTGTGTTCTGTATATACATACACGCTCAGCTCACAATTCCACGTTCTGTGCTACTAATCAGGTCTAAATGTCACGCAGCACGTTTGTGTGTGTGTACAAGTAGATTGGTCCAATCTATAAACAGAAGCTATACAAATCTGATGTAATATTTTGATAAATATTGCTGGAGAATGCCCACAATGTTTATCTGCTGTACTTTATATTCTTCATTTTTTGAAATATTTTGATTACTTTTAATTACTTAAAGGATCACTATAGTGTCAGGAAAACAAACCCTCAGGGTCCCCCTCTTGCTGGGCTGAAGGGGTTAAAACCCGTTCAGCCACTTAATTTAATCTAGCACTAGGCTCCCGAGACGCTGGTGACCTCTCCTCCCCAGCCGATGTCCGCTCCCAAGTAGAGCGGAATGCGCATGCGTGGCACGTGCGCATTCAAACAGTCCATAAGAAGGCCTTTCTCAATTCTTTCCTATGGACGTTCTGCACGCTGAATGCGATTTTCGCATTCAGCGTCGCAGAAGCGTCTGTCAGGAAGACTGCCACTAGAGGTTGGATTAACCCTGCTATGTAAACATAGCAGTTTTTCTGAAACTGCTATGTTTACATGTGAAGGGTTAAAACCCGAGGGACATTGCACCCAGATTGAGCTGAAGTGGTCTGGGTGACTATAGTGTCCCTTTAAACCCCTTAAGGACAGAGGCACTTGTCTACTTTGTGAACCAAAACAAAACCTCGAATTTTACAGTTCCACTGTAATTTAAGGGTTTCTCTTCAAGGGCTCCCATAATATTATATATAATTTTTTAAAAGGACAGAAATGGCTTTCATTGAACATCCTATATGTAACATTACATGTGCAAAAATGGGGGAAACATGTAAAGAAACTTGTTTTTTCAAATTTTTGTGCAACTAATAGATTATCAGTCCTAATTGTTAAATTTCTAATATTTATCTAATAGGATCTAAATAAATTTTTGATAGTTAACGCTAACCCTATACCAACTCCCACACTAACGCTCTACTAACCATACCCCTTACCTAATGCTAACCCAAACTGTATGCCTACTGTAATCTTACTCCTAAATTCAACCCTAAAACAGTATTAACCCTTACCCTGACCCTACACTAAGCCTAGCCCTAAAGCAAACCCTACACCAAAACTAAGTGTAACTCTACTCTCACCCATAAATCTAGCCCAGCTATAATCCTAACCCAACCCACTGCTAATATCAATTCTATTAGAAATGGGTTTTACTGTATTTAACACAGTGTATAGTGGTATGTTGGCACACTTGGTGTAATTCTGAAAGAGCCTGGTTCCAAGACAAATATGCAGAGATCAGAACTGGGAAGCTGGCAAAACCAAGCACTGGTCCATATCGCCTGGGGCCAGGCTGGGAGCCCCTGCCAGGGTCGATTCGGGTCTTGGAGGGTCTCTGTGGAGCAGCCTGCACTCAACAAAATTGAGTTAAAGTGCTCTGTGTAGCACTGACTTCCGGCAAAGACCCCCGACAGTGACTTTGCCACTGGGGGTTTTGTTGCCATAGGGTGCAGGAGTAGTTGATTTTTCATTACCCGAACCTTCGCCACCACGCCTTTTCTGCTGATCCTGTTCAGCTGAAGCACTAGGAGTCCATGTCATATACACAAGAGAACAACACTGAGATCTGTGAAGGATCCTGCAAGACTGTGGGATCCTCCAAAGATAGCCTTTTCCCCTTCAGCCATCACTCGTCAACTCCCTTCAGCTCGGCAGTTGACGAGGCTTGACAAAAGGTAGCTCCATCTTTCTATCAAGCCCCTACTTCGTTTTAGTATATCTTTTGACTTCATTGGAATTTCAATAAAATTCCAACACCGTTAATGTGAGTATTTTATAAAGACTTTATCTTTATAAAACAATCATTTTGAGAGGAGCGGGGGGCGGTGGCAATGCCACTTTAAAGGACACTATAGAGTTTAGAATACAAATGTGTGTTGCTAACACTATAGTGCGATTGGGTACCTGCTGCAAGGGTTAAAAAGGTGATTTTTACGTAATTTTTCTCCTTTGCAGTGCCTGTCTCCAGTATTCTTCTCCACTTCTTTGGCTGAGATCACCGTGCTTGATGATTTAAACTAATCCATAGGAAAGCATTGGGAGGTTAGCATGTGCACGGCATGCTGCGCTCATCTGAGACCATCTGATTGACATAGTGGAGTTTTACTCCACTGTTTCGGCACACTTGCCACTTGTGGCTGTCGGTATAAAAGCCACTCCAGACAGGTTAGCTCTACAATGAAAACATTGCCTTTCCTGCAGAACGGCAATGTTTTCAGCTGCACAGTTAAAGCAATGGTCAATCTAGACAATTTCGAGAGTCCATTTAAACAGTGGAGATATCTATACAGATCAAGACAATAGAGTTGATCTGTATAAGTATTTGGGAAGCGGACAGATTAAAAGGACAAGATGATATCCGTAATAATCAATTGGATGATACAGAACGGTCACAGAATTGTATTACAAAGGCACAAGAATGCCTTGGTGTCCCCCAACATTGTATGGAGACCATTTTAGAATGTGTTGACTTCTTACCTGAAGTCTGCCAGGCATCGCTCCTTACCTCTACCACAGCTCAATGAGCGACTATCTTGGTACATGGCTTAGCTCATTGAGAACGATCAGTTGACGCTACCTGGGCAAGAACTTACCGCTCTTACTGTGCTGTAAAAGCGACTGGCAAGTGCGCTGTTGTTGCTATAATTCCTGAAGTGTTCCTTTTTAAAAGACTATTACTTCATTACCCTTACTTCATTATGATCCATTGAGAATTTATAATCGTCACAATCTGTTCTTTAAGGATCCTGTTCTAAAATAGTCCGGTCAGCTCAACTAAAGGAACACTCATAACACAATAATCTCTACAGTCCAAATCATTTGAGAACAGTTTGACAAGTTATCAGTGGGCAATTGATGTGGTCTCCTTTGGAAATGAAAGATCCTACTAGCTTCATAGAGTCAAACCCTGGGGATGACTCATTGGCTGAGAATGTCATGTCAAGTGCTTTCAGCCAATGATAGCCTCCCGCACCGCAGAGCTTTCCAACTGCAGCGTAGGTGACTGCAGGCGCTTGGTGGGCCCCAGATAATTTGTCAGTAGCACTACTTACTGTTTTATGGCGTTGTGGCACAATAACCACTAAGGTGGCCTATAGTGGTTATGGTGTGTTGTTCCTTTAATGTTTTATAGAGGTGTAGGCAGTTTTAGCACTCCAGATGTTGTGTACTATATCCTACAGTTATAATGCTGACAATGCATCAGGGGTAATATAGTCAACCACATCTGGAGTGCTGAAAGTTGCTTATCTCTGGTTTAGAAGCTCTATAGAAAATATAGTGTTAACTAAGCAGGATATTTTGTTCTACCACAAGTTTTAAGGACTAGATTGACAATGAATTGCTTATTTTTAAGGTTTTGATTTTCTGACATTAGGTCTCTACTTATTTTACCATACTTTCTATCTAAAAGGTAATCATTCAACCCAGTTGCATGATGAAACCATTTTTGACCAGGGAAGACTCATGGACCTTGATTACATAGAAGTATCTATTTTAAAAGTATTCCATGCTTTAATGTTTACATTTTGCATGAAAAATAAATCTTGCATACAATAACTTCGGTTTCTCTGCCTTTTTAAAAATGTAGCTCTTGGTAACAATTATTTGATTGCATTAGCATCCTAAACTTTGGAGCTTGGGAAATTAGTCATTAAACGGACCCTCTAAGCACCAAACAACTTATTTTTACAGATAATGTCAAACATTGCCATTTCAGATAAATACCAATATTTACATTAGTATGAAAGCACATCTCTAGTGGCTTTAGGGCTGACAGCCTATAGAGAGGTGCTTCCTCCTTAATATCTTAAATAATCTACCGTAAGTATTTTGTGTTCAGCATAATTGCTCACAGCATGATGACACTCAAGTGTTAATGTTTCTCATAGAAATGCATTGGATTCAGTGCTTCTCTATTAAAGGCACCAGATTGGCGGAGTGTTGGGACTGTACATGTACTGTAGGTCTCCAATGCTATTCTGTGAGTATTGTCCCAGTGTGTGTGTGTGTGTGTATATGTATGTGTGTGTATATATATATATATATATATATAGCAAAAAGGAAAGAGATGCACTCTCAGGACTTTGTAAAAAAAACTCGATATTATTTAATAACAGGTAACATACATCTGATCGACGTTTCGACCTCTTCAGGTCTTCCTCAAGATCTTGCTATAATTCCTTGATATATATATATATATACACACACACACACCGTAATAGAGGTCCTTGCACACTGGCCAAACCTTCAAATTGATGCAGATTGGTGCATACTGTGGCTTAAGATATCCAAGGTGTATAACTGTAGTCAGATGCACTCACAGTCTTTGTTAAATATCCAGTCTTTACTGGGTTATGTTAAAAACTATAGTTTTTAACATGGACCAATAAAGACTGCATTTTAAACAAAGACCGTGAGTGCATCTGACTACAGTTATAGTGTGTGTTTTTTAAACAAAAAAACCTGAACTTTACTTTGTTTTCAACCACAGTTCCTGCCTCTAGATTAATTGTTCTTAAACCCTGAGCCTAGATGGAAAACAATTTATTTTAGTTGAAACTCTTATCTGGAGCAGCCACATTGTTTCTCATGTGTAAAGCAACTGTCCACTGTAAATTGTTACTGTAAAAGCTTTAATTTGTATTTCTCTGTGTAATTATTAATTATTCTCTGAGCAGGGGTCACCTGATGTGCTGACGTCATGGGTAGCTGCTGCAGCTGCCGAGACGGACTCCCAGATAATCATCCCACTAAGTTCAAGGTATATGAGTATGCATGTACTGTTACACCAGCCATGTTTATTTTGTAAGATTTGCATTTAGTTCATGGCAGAAATATCGATATGTGGTTTTTTATTTGTTGGGTTTTTTTTCACCCTTAATGCGTAGCTCTGGATACTAGTCCATTTGAAACCCACTCATAATTTGCTCACGCCTAGATAATTGTATTCTGCTAATTTTTCTGTGTCCAATTCCTAGCTTGTATTGACATCAGAACAGCTAATTTGTTTTGGAGACCAGCTGGGCAAAAGACTAACAAGGTTGAGGGAAAACACCATTCTAAATGTTATATCTATATCTAAGTTGATTGGAAAATAGAACACTCAGTGATTAAAGTTCTGAAACTATAGAACTCCTTTAGCACAATTTATATCAACCAAGCATAATGCAGATAAAATAATCTTCATTATTTATTAAAATTCAACAAAAAATATCACAATTGCACTTAAATCTATATTTCAGTAAAAAAAAAAATCTTTATCCACTGAGTGTTCTATTATATCATGGTGGGGACCTTACCAGGCTGATGGTAAGACACAGGTAATTTCTAAGTAAAGCATTGAACTTTATAGCTATCTCCTAGAAATGAGTGCTTGAAATGGTGCTTGATATTGATAACTTCTCTTCTCTGTTTGCAAAGAAGATAACTTTTGTTGGATTTGTGAACTAATGAAACCCCCTATAACAAGTTAATTTTAAGAGCCTGTGTTGTGTGTTATTCTCTGCAGGTCACCAACGTTGATGATGAGGGAACAGAACTGGGTTCAGGAATCATGGAATTAACACAGACTGAGCTTGTCCTACACACCCGGAAGCGTGATGCTGTGAGATGGCCATACCTCTGCCTGCGCCGTTATGGCTATGATTCTAATCTCTTCTCCTTTGAAAGTGGTCGGCGATGCCAGACTGGTCAGGGTATGGTTGCTTCTTTATGGATATGGCCGCTAAAACATCGCTTTCATTACATTTTGCTGGCCCAGTGAAGTTGCCAAACTAATGAAAGGTTCAAACTGAGAAAGACCTTTTAGATGAGCGTCTATTTTGAACAATGACCCAATCCAGTGTTCCTCATTGGAAAACATTAAATCAATGCTTGCTATGGTAGCTTCCTCATCATGTGACCTAGTTTTATTTAGTCAGTATGACAGCCACTAGAGGTGGATTTATGCCTGCAATGCAAACATTCCAGTTTCTATAAAAAACAAACTGACATTTTTACATTGCAGGTTTAAAACTAAAGGACCACTGCGCTCAGAGCACTTCATTTAGGTGAAGTGTTCTCTTTGAATATAGGTATCCTTTAATCACACACGCATAGTGTTATAATATGAGATTATTTTTTTTGTAGAATAATCAGCAATTATAGTACAGGGGTAGCAGGAGTCACCTAACAATTTATTGTATATCACTGACCACATTTTAATGTTCTTCCTCTGCAGGAATATTTGCATTTAAATGCTCAAGAGCAGAAGAAATCTTCAACTTGCTGCAGGAGCTGATGCAACGGAACAGTATAAGCGTAGTGGAAGAGCCAGTTATAATCACCAGGTCTGGTCACCCAGGAGAGATGGATCTACAGCGTACCCAACAGGCTCCTGGAGGTGAGGAGACTTAAAAAGGGTGGAATCTCGTAAAAACCCTGTGTGAGTGAGAAGTGAAGTCAGTGTTACCATTGGAAACCTAAGCTATTAGTAATTCAGAGGTAGTTGTCCAAGAATAGTGGCAACAACCATTTTTTTAAATCTGTAATGGGTAGCTACATTTTAATCTTATCAAAACTGGAAGATATTCTTCTGTGTTTTTAACACAATGCTGTAGCTTTTCCCTAATGCATTAAACAAAATTCATTATTTTTTTCCTCCAATTCCAGTGATTAATAAGATCCAGCATTTAGCATGAGATGCATGGCGTTTTTATCCCTTGTATGAGCTTGCAGGCTGTCCATGTTGCCAACAGCCACTCAATGCTATCTACAGAGTAAGACTTTTCTTAGGACATGGGATTATGAAGGTTTCTTTAGCAGCCTCTTCATCCCTCAAGTGGTGTTAAACTGCAGTCAGAATAAAATATTGTGTATCTTGTCTATTGTACTGTTCTCATAAATTTTAATAATTTATTTTATTAAAGAAGCAGATATTAAAATACAAATTTAAAGCATAACTCACTTGTATTGTGGAACATGAAACTGTCACGCCCAGAGACATTAATTTCGCTTTAGGAAATGAGAGCAGCTTTCTGTCTGTATGATATGTGCCGTTAAAGGGTTACTATCCATAAGGTCCTCCCACTCCAATTGCAGTAAAACTTATTTGAAAAAAAAAAAAGGGATTTTAATAGTATTAAGGGACAATATAAAAATATATATATAATCCATTTCACCTGTATCCTGCTGAGAGCATGAGTCATGCTTCAGTGGGTGTTAAAACTGCTGTAATACACACCTTTTCTGCACATCCCAGTTTGGGAACCACATATTTGCACCTCATAACAGGTTAAAAGTCGCCATGTTGGTTTTGCGTAAATAAAATGTATCCATTCTTAGAAAGCCTGTCCAAAGCTGCCCTAACAACTCATTCTGGCTGTTTTTCTCCTCCCTTCATGCTGCTAGTGAACTTACTCCCCCTTGCAGGCATTGCTTTCCCTTAACACTATTTTTCTCGATTTGGTTGGGGATCTCCTAGTACGTTTAGGCTTTCATACCTACTTTGATCTATTGCTTTCCCAATCGCACTATAGTGTTAGGCTTAAGCAGGAGAGATGCTTAGAGGATGGACTGCCTGATAAAATTAGTGCAGAGCACAGTCTACTTATTTCTGCGCAAGCAGGAAGTGCTTCTAGTGGCGGTCTGATTGACAGCCATTAGAGGCAGTCTTAACCCTACAATGTAATTATTGAAGTAAACATTGCAGGGTTAAGGTACAAGGTCTTTGTACTTAGACCGCTTCAATAAGCTGAAGTGCTCTGGGTGCCTTTAATGTCTCTTTAAAGGTGACAGTTGAAACCTCTGAGAATAAGTGAGTTTATTAGTTTTGTATGATGGCAGTTGTAATCCAAGCAGCTTGAAGCTTTGCTTTCCCTATATTAAAAACTTTGAACATAAGCAACAGTCCCATGCAAAAACAGCATCATGATGACCATGTCCTTTAATTACTTTCTAAACCTTGAAGTTGCTGGTAAAATGCAGTGTTCCCAATAATGGCATTGTTTATTTAAAAGAACATTCCAGGATTACAAATAAAAGCATGTATTTGAAACTGCCATAAAAGCAACTCTGTCGCCCCTCAGGGTTCATATTCGGCACTCGCCACACTACACCTGCATCACTTCTCATAGGGAATCATTGAATCCAATAAAGTGAGGAGGGTACTTTTAATCCCTAAAGCAGTTCAGAAAAGCGGAATGTTCTGAATTTGAAATAATACTTTCTTGCTTTCAATAGTTTTGCATGACTATGACATTATATAGTGTTCTTTAATTCACTACGACATAAAATCATAAATATCCATGATTTTATGTTGTAGTGAATGGCTAAATGTGCAAAATGATTGCTTACTCGATAAAATAATAACCTCTTTCACAACATTTGTTGCTAATTGTATTATCAGTCTGCTATTGGCACGATAAAGATTTAAATATGACCATTTCAAGCTAGCAACATATGTATGCAATAGTGCCAGGCATTTCAAAAGCTGCTAGTGTTACTTACACAGCCAACAATGCCAGATATCTGAGTGCAGCCTTTTATTCCCCTAACTACGCTAATGAGAAGCAGCTTGCAGTTTCTACATGGTGCATCCATTAAGCACAAATAATACAAACTGTTAATAAAGTTGGCTTCCTGGTAATCTTTTCTCATGATCTGTTTCTCGATGCTTAGAATAGATGGATTCATACCAAATCTAAAATCACATGCCGCATTAGTTCTTTCGTTACTAAATTGCCTTTCTTTTGAACTTCTGTCAACTTATGTCATGTACTACTCCATGTAAAGCAATACATTTCTCTTCTATGATATCATTTATCCCCTTAAGGACCAAATATCTGGAATAAAAGGGAATCATGACATGTCACATATGTCGTGTCCATAAGGTGTTAAAACTGAGCATTTATATTTGAGCAAGAATGAGCTTCTGTGTGGAGGCTCTGGTACAGTTCATTATTGCGAAAAAAGCATGGTACAGGTATCTTGCAAAATGCTACATTTCCTCTGGCACATCAGAATAATTGATATATGTTGTTGCCCTACTATCAGCAATTGTTGTTAACCTTCCCCCCCCCCCGTTTTGAAAGTTTGTTTTTATTGCTATTTACATATGATATGGTGTTTGGTATTTTGTATAATTTTTGCTATTTATGTTCTATAAGCATTCCGGTTTGAATAGCATTTTTACATTTAAATTAGTCCGTTCTCTATTTTCACCATATGTAAATAAACTCCCTTTCATGTATTAAATGCATCTAACAACGTCTATGTTGTAATCTTAGGGCTTTGTATTTTTGTGTTAGAGACAATCAGAGAGGGAAAAAAGGTATTTAAAAAAAAAATAAAAATAAAAAAAAATTTTTTATGATACTGTGACTAAGATTTAATACGGTCATACATCAGTTGGCGCAAAATGTTATAACGTTACCATAACCTATTGACAGTCTTTTAGACATACTGTGCTATTAGTTGGATAACAAATTGTGAAACAAAATAATTATTTCAGATTTCTTTATAATTGTTTTTTCCTTTTTGTCTCCCATTTCCTCTTTGTAGCTCTGGGATACACAGGATTTCCCAATGGGTTTCACAACTTTCCGCGGGAGGGTCCGTCATTCCCTTCCTCCCGTCATCCCACAATGGGAAATCTGAGGCACCCTTCTGTTGGCGAGGAGTCCACACTTGGCCTTATGACCCCAGAGGATCAGGTATGCTGCAGCTAGTAATAACCATGCCATTTTATGTTTTTACATGCAACAGTTAAAGGACCACTATAGTGCCAGGAAAACAAACTTGTTTTCCTGGCACTATAGGGTCTTTGGGTTCCCCTCACCCTCAGGGTCCCTCTCCCGCCCGGCTCAAAGGGCCTAAAGGGGTTAAATTCGTACCTTTCTCCAGCGCTGGGGACTCTCCTCCCTCTTCCGACGTCAGCACCAAATACCCCTGCGTGGCAAGAGCCGCGCGCGCATTCAATCAGTCCATAGGAAAATCACAGTGAGAAGCGCCTCTAGCAGCTGTCAATGAGACAGCCACTAGAGGCTGGATTAACACTAATGTAAACATAGCAGTTTCTCTGAAACTATCTTTACAGCTGCAGGGTTAACCCTAGATGGACCTGGCACACAGACCACTTCATTGAGCTGAAGTGGTCTGGGTGCCTATAGTGGTCCTTTAAAGGCTAACATTGATTGTGGATAGCAAAGGCTGTTTAGATAATTTTGAGATTGTGACTGTCTGTAAAGTCTTTCTACTTTTAAAGGGTATCTGTCAGGACAAACACAACTTGATCTTAAATGATAGAGCATCAAATTTCAGCTATACACCGTGCTAGCAATAATTACTGGCAAATGTTTAGATTTATATAAAATCAGAGGTTAAAAAAACAGCCCTTTCCACCTTATCTCATTCAGTTCAATCTGTGTCTATCAGCACATGAGTAGAGATGACTAGGCTGTGCTCTGCACTTATTTAATCATGCAGTCTATCCTCTGGGATTCTCTCTTGCTTGAATTCAGCCTAAAGGAAAGCAATGCCTGCAAGGGGAAGTAAATTTACCAGCAGCATGGAGAGAGGAGAGAAACAGCCAGAATAAGTTATTGAAGCGGCTTTGGACAGGGAATCTGAGAATGGAGAGAGAGAACAGATATATGCTATTTACACAAAGCCAACATAAAATGTTGGTGACTTTTAACCTGTTATGAGACACAAGTATGTGCTTCCAAAAAAGTGATATGTAACACCCACTGAAACATCGTTGATGCTCTCAGCAGGATACAGGGGTAATGGTAATATATTAAAATATGGGCTTTTAATAGTATTAAGGGACAATGCACAAAATAAATGAAGTGCTGCACAATAACAATGTCTACATTTGAAATCTGTGGTTGGGGGTCCGCCAACTATCAGGAACTCCTTACAGACCTCACAATTTAGGGTGAAAACAAAAAATGTTTGTTCTGGATCAAAAGGACAAAAATTAAATAAGTTTTTCGTCCGGAATACATTCAAGATTAAGGCCTCATAGATGAAACGTTAAATTTTATTTTTGTCCTTTTGATCCAGAATAAAAAAATAGTTTTCACTATACATTGTGACGCGTGAGCATTAAGAGACAAACCACATAATTGTGTAACATGAGCCAGCCAGGTGGTTAGAAAACATCAAACCTATATCTGGCAGGGTTAATTTAAGGATCTGGTCCATTTTATCTGGAGAAGCAGAACACACCCAGTTTTCTGCTTTGTATAATTGAATCCTTAGTTAAGTTATTGCCTTGTGCAGAATTAATAGGGCATCTTGAAGACCTAAAAAGCTTGTGGTAAGGAAGATGACAGGGCATTTAGGGTAAAGTGTCATGATTCCTTCGACACATCCAAAAAGAAGCACTCATTGGGTTCAAGTATGAGCATTTTATTGGATCGTAACACACAGCAACGTTTCAAACTTAACAAAAGTCTTTGACAAGCTAACACCACATAAAACACTACACTTATATATACAGTGCACACTAAATCAATTAGGGTTAATGATCATTTACCCCATCATTCCATTATGGGAGAAGATTGGAGATGGGCAATAAAGCATGACGCATTAACAAAGCCAAAAGTTGTCAATGGAGTGCAAAGTAGCAAGTTCACCTAAGGTGGAATGCAAGTGGAGCACCACCCCAACGAAGTGAGCATGTGCAGAACCATGTAACATCGCAGGAGCAAAAGACCCACAATAAACAATAAAGTGCACATGTGCAAGGCTCAGGAATTAATCAGAAGCATCACTAGTGTACAAAAGTATAGCATGAGCGAGTAGAGCCGAAACCTTGCTAAAGTTCACAAAATAAGCACAAATGTGCCAGACTGTAAAACTAAGTGGCAATTTTGCAAAAGCATAAAATACAGAAAAGTGCAGGAGTAAAATAAAGGTTTCTTAAGGAAAATAGTTTCTGTAAGTTTACATTAAAATCATAAAAAATAACACCAAAACTACTAACCAAAAACGGCAAGTGAAATATAAAATTACAAATGCAGAAAGATAAGTCCTACGCTCACTCCCATCACTGGGCGGCAGCAATGACTACAATACACATCAGCCCCAATATAAAGTAAAAACCAAAGAAAAACAAGTTGCCTGCGCTCTCTCCTTAATCCCTATGTATTTTTAAACAAATGGAGGTTTTTAGTTACCTCCAATGGCCATGAGAGGATAAGCCACCCGCCAACGTCAAGGCAGACCCACCGAGGTGGGTCCTAACTCTAACCATTCACCTTGCTTCCTTGAGCTTCTAGCAAAGATCTCTGAGACAGAAAGGGGTATTTTTTATATACACCCCTATATATTATTAACCCTTAATAGGGAACACATGGGATGGGCGGCTGCATTGTAACTAGGCTGAGTGATACAAAAAATGGATACAAATGCAGAAAGATAAGTCCTGCGCTCAAAATAAATAGGGATTAAGGAGAGAGCGCAGGTAACTTGTTTTTCTTTGAAATATAAAATTACACCACCTCAGATTAATGTCAATATGTTGTATTCTTCATTAAGTCCTTTCAAGCCTCTCTTAACAACAATTTTTTACCTCTATTCTCCCTTCTGATGTTTTCAAGGACATGCACAACCATCTGAAATTTAAGTTGTGAAACATTATGACTGATTTCAGAGAAAACAGCAGGCAAAGGCAAATCTACCAAATCCGTTTGGATTGTGGGCTTGTGTCGGGGCTTGACAAATGCCAGGTCGCCATGGTGACTATGAATTTTGTCCTGGCGCCTGGGATTGGTCGGCCCACTCCCTCCTCCTCCTCCTATCACAATACCGCAGGGGAATTGCAAGCTGGCAGGGGACTGCCTGTTTGCCGCCCGCTCCCCTCACCCCCCTCCTCAGAGCCAGCCTGCCTGCCCGCCCGCATTCCTCAGAGCCATCCCCCATTCTTCAGAGCTGGCCTCCACCCCGTCCCATTACGAAGAGCCAGCTGCCCGCCCATTCGCCTGCGCGGCCTCAGTGCTGGGAGGAAGTAATTGGTTACCTTTGCTTCTCCCGGTGCACAGAGATCTGCACGTGATTGGAGAGACAGGAGGAGGGGGAGTCTGGAACAGCGGCAGCCTTTTTCCATCAGCCACAGCCAGCCCAACTAACCTATTGTCACTTGCTGCTGCCCAGTCCCACTGGACCCCAGAGAAGCCACCCTTCTGAGCCCAAAAGGTAGTAAACAGGAGGGTGGCTAAAATATGCATTTTTTTGTGTATCTCTTATGTCTGTGTGTATCTATTTGAGTGTTTAAAATAAATACTTTGTGACTGTGTGGGAGAATGTGTATGTTTGTCACCAGCCCCCTCTGATCGCATGGGAATGGTGCTCTTACTCCTCTTTTTTGCAACGCCGCAGCTGGCCTGGTTCCATAGCCGAGATTATCAATTACCCATTAGCATCTCCTCATAGAGATGCAATAAATCAATGCATCTCTATGGGGAATGTTCAGCACCTCCATGCAGAGTGTGGAGATGCTAAATGTAGATGCTGCACATTGTGCAGCACTGAGATAGGAGACACTGGTGACTATAGTGTAGTAGTCCTGGTGACTATAGTGTCTCTTTTTAAGAATTTTTTATTTTTTGGGAGGGGAGGTGGGGAACTGGCTCCTAATTTTTTTTATTTTTTTTTTAGCTGGCTCATAGATTGAAAGCAAATTTGCTCTGACTTATGCTTGGAGAACCTTTCTTTCATCTTTTGTGATATCTGACAAATATACAAATAACCACAAGGGCATTTTAAATTATAAACTAGAAAATTTGAATTACAAGTTACAAATTGTTTATTCTGATATTTTTGCCACTAAGCTGATGATTGAAAATAGAGCTCTGGAATATAGAGTGGCAAGCTACACAACTAGAAACAGAGAAACAGACCTTTTCAGCTGTCAAAAACACTATATATGGTATAAAACCATATACTAATTGGTGGAGTGCAAATAAATAAGTGAATAAAAAAAAGAACTTGTGCAGGGGTTGACTTACCCCGTAAATATTGTATAACAAACTTGAAGGTACATATGAAAAGAAAAAGAACAAAGAAAAAAATATATAGTGTAGATGGTCTTGAGACTAATGATCATTAGTAGATAAATAACTAGAACCACTCACATGGTATGGAGCCTATATAATATTGGCTCCGTAAAATGGACCTCTTTGCTTTTAGGGCAGCAACACACCACTCACTCTATGACGTTTCCTCCAAAAGAAGTACAAAAAAGAGAGAAGTGACCAATGTGTGATATTGTACAAATTCAGATAAATCTCCTACTGGTAAGTATTACGCTCACCTTTTTCAGAGCCTTCATTGCCTGGCTTTGAGGGTAATTTTCAGAGTGCCACTTTTCTGGGGATGGCACTTCCCCAGTGAAGACTCTTTGAGGCATCAATGACTTAATTGGAATAGCTTATAAAATTAAAATTTGATTCCAAATAAAAACATGTAGTATATATTGTAAAAATGGAATTAATGTCCAATATAAAGTTGCCGAAAATCAGGGTGACAGCTTAGAGGATCATCCCCTCTGATGAGCTGATAAGCAAAGATTTCCAACAGTACTCGTCCAATTAAGACTCTGTTGGATAATTCTGATCTTATACAGTGACAGAATTCAGTCTGACATATGACTACTTATTCATTTTAGTTTTTGTCTTGGTGGTTTGCAGTGAGATTTAGTCCATGTTTTGGGACTTTTTAATGGAAAACTATTAAAAGTGAAGTTTTAATGATTTATAACCACCTTCCTGGGATATTCCACCTTATCTATATATCTCATTACTGCTACCTCCAGCTCTCTCTCTTTCTTTTGAATATTTTAACTCTAGGGGTTATCCCCCATTAGGAGGTACTGGTTAACAATTTGGCGCTTTTCTCTCTTTTTCTTTAAAAACAAAAAAACAAATAAAACCAGATTAGTGTACACCGTAATATGTAGTGCAAAACACCATAAAAAAAAAAAGACCTACTCACATGTTCTGGAACATGTGAGTAGGTCTTTTATCTTTTTTTTATTGTGTTTTGCACTATATACCCTTATGAGGACTATTTAGGTGCTGCACCTACCTCGTGTTTTTTTATTAACTAAAGTTTGTCTGCTTAGATGTTAAATCCGTCAAATTCTTGTCGTTTTAACTTTCCATGTACTTAGATTTGAGAAGTAATTTTTGTTTTGGAAAGTGAATTACCTTTTCCTTAGCATGGAATGTGATTTCTCTAGCATCATGGGCATGTGTATAACTTAATGTGGTTGACATTTAAAAAAAAAAAAAAAAAAGCAGTAATAGTTTTCAGCCCAAGAATGGGGTGTGGGGGTAGGACAAAAATAGTAGCAGAGAGAGAAAACACTTGAATGAGTTTTGCTTCTATTCAAAAACTTTCTCAACAGCCTTTGAGAAATTGTCTTTGAATAGACCGGCTAATGCCTTTTTTTCATTTACGTATTACTTTACTTTTCAGTAAACCTCAACAATATTACAGTAAGTGCCAATGTTATTTGAATTCAAAGTGAAAATGAACTTATAGGTGAGGATATTACTCCTATAACCAGAAGACTGGGGAAGCAACACTGTTTTATTTTGTTTTTTTGGTTTTTTTACATTTGAATTGTTTTGCTCAAGGCTACCCCTTACATGTCTCCTGTTCTGCAGTTGCTTCTACTCCTTGGAATGCACTATTAAGTTACTGGCTTTCTAGTACATTATTGTAATTTAATCACTCACTGTGATAGTGGCAGTTTGCTTACTTCAAATATGCATATTTTTTTTTTATTTTTATAAAAGCATGCTTTGCTTTTTGTCCCGTGATTGTGCTTTTTTGTCTTTACTCCTTTAATCAGCATTACCAATGTAAACTCCACTTAAATTTAGAAATGGTGGTAAATTCTGAAAAATATACAGCGTATCTTAAAACTCCGACAGTACCTTCACGCTTTTGTAGTTTACCCAGATTACTCAAATAATTCAGTGGCTTCCATTCAGTTGTCCAATGTGTGCTTGCATCATATTAGCTTAACATAAAGGTGTTGAACTATTTTACATATAATACATAAAACAGAAACTATATTGCACATATGTTACTGTTTTTGCAGAAGGGCTAAAATCCAAATAGAATACCTAATTTTTTCCCCCCTGTTTTACAGTCTCACACCTATGTGAATACAGCTAGTGGAGAAGAGGAAATAGGAGGACGGCACTGCATGCACTCTTTACCTGAGGCTCATGCACCCTACCATGACCCACCAAGGCATATGCTGGGCCCAGGATGCTCAATGGAAGAGCGAAATCCCCAGGTTTTTCTTCAGCCTGGGGAGGTGAAATTTGTTTTGGGTCCAGCTCCTGCCTATAGACGAATGCCTATGAGAGCAGATGGATTCTGCCGACACCACAGAGACTGCCAGGGCCATGTCTGTGGTGGCGAGAGGGATCCCTTGCCACCACACAATAATAACAATGAGTGCAAGGATCAGTGGAGCACACACAAGTGTGCCTACGAGAACATAAATGGTTTAGTGCCATCAGGAAACATCGCTCTGCATAGGGGGACTGCCAGCAGGGGTCTAAAACTGTCTTCAGAAGGGCTGCCTTACAACAGCTGTTCACACCGCAGAACAGCAATGCTTCACTATGAAAACCTGCCCTCCCTGCCTCCTGTGTGGGAATGCCAGTCATTACAGCATGAAGATGAAGAGGATGAAGATGAAGAAGAGGAGGATTCTGCTGAGGCCATGACACCATCTCTTAATGGCTACCACGATGACCCTTTACAAAACTACATGAATGCAGAAAGTGCCACAGCATGTGGTGGGTACCACCACCATCGACCAGACTGCCATACCCGACGAAGCTGTCCGCCCAGTGTATTCAGCTTTGACTTCAGGCGGCCACGTGCAGAACAGAGGCAACTCAACTACATCCAAGTGGAGCTTGAGGGGAAGAGTGAAGGTAAGGGGAGGCAGATTCCTCAAATAACCTGCACCCCAGCTCCAAATCACCGACGTGCAGACTCTTATGCTGTTATTGACCTCAAAAAGACAGCTGCTATGTCTAGCCTCCAGAGAGCTATGCCCCGAGATGATGGAACGTCAAGAAAAACCCGGCACAATAGCACGGACCTGCCCCTGTAAATGCGGACTGTGACTCCTCTTTGTCTTTATCCCTGATCTTTTTCAAAAGCCATCTCAGCGGCTCCTCCTGGCTTTTTTTCTCTGTGCCCTTTTATGTGACTAAACCCTGGTCTCTCACACCCAGTTCCTGTTGTGTAATGTTCCCAGTGGAGCAAACTTTCCCACACTCTAAAGAATGTGCAAATTAACTTTTCGGGAGGGAGAAAAAAAGGAGCAGGATTTGAGACAGCCACAGTACACATGGTGCTTCTTATGTGCATCAAGGGCTGGCCAGACACAGGACTGAGGGCCACCGCATCCTGCTGAAAATGCTCTTTGTGGGTCAAAAAGTTTTATTTTTTATTTTATTTTTACATTTTATTTATTATTATTTATTATTTAACTTATTTTATTTTTTTTTTATTGCTTTTGTAGAATATTTTTTTGTTCCTCTCTGGCAGATTTAATTTATTTTTTTCTATTTATTTTTGTAAACATTCCATGCTTTTTGTGCTGTAAGGAAGCATTGTCCAGTCTTGCTCCACATGCTAATGGTCATGTCTCTTTCCGAGCTTGAGTTAGTGGTTAGAGATGTGCACCTCTTGTGATGTCACTAGGACTTTTGCATGTATCCCAAGCAAAAGAACTATGTATATACCCAATAATGCATTTTGCTGAATCTAAGTTATGTGTAGGTGCTAATTATAAGAAAAGATGGGCCTTTTAAACTTATGAAATATATATTTAAATAATTCTATAAATATATACATGTGTAGAGGGGGGACAAAGTTGTCTATCAGCTATGAAGGATTTTAACTCTGAATTCTAAACCCCTTTTATGTATTTTTTACTTGAATGCAAAGTGCCAAATATTTCTACCTGTGCCATGTCAAAAAGTCATACATTTATGTAACTGTGGTTATTTAAATTCCCTTCCCTTGTGACACATGTTTACATTCATTTAGATCTCCTAGATTCAAAATGCAACTAAGGAACATACATTAACAGAGCTGCATCATTAGGTGTAGCAAAGAATAACAATCCCCATTTAAGTTTTTGTAGTATCAGTGGAACTGTCTTTTTTTTATATTTACCTGTCTTAATAACATTCCTTATTTTGTGTGTTCCCCTCTCCTGGTTTGTTTTGTTTACAAATATTTGTTGTGCACACTTAGGAGATAAATCAAAATTTAAAACTGTTAATTACTTTTTCCTGATAGCACTATCTAAAGCTTAATTGACTGCTGCTGTGTAACTTGATTGGTGGCTGAATAAGCATTATTATCAAGGCACACACACAACCTGACAGCTGTGGTTAGTCTAAGGCGAGTTATTGTGAGAAAAAGGGGAATGTACTAGAAGCTAGTTCACATTTTGATTAAGCCTTTACCTTCAGGAAGAAAGTATGTAAAGTGTCAACACAACAACTGAACACACTTTTTAGAAAATATAGGCAGAATTTTGTAATTTGTCTCATGTGAAGAATAAAACGACAGATCCACTTTAATGGCAGGCTCTCTTTTGGAAACAAAGTTATGTTAGGGTTACAACCTTTGCTCAAACTCCTTCCCCGATCCATTTACCCTCTACAAAAATGATTATATAATAAATATATATTTATAATGGGTCCAGTGCAGCGATTGTAACCGTTCAAAATTCTGCATATTCCCTTATGTAATTTATCTTGCACGGAAAATAGCAATGGATATTATTTTTGCAGTATCTTGAGCTAAAGGCATAACAAATCTGTATGTAGGAAGAACTGGATGGATTTATGGTTTTCTTACTCTGTGCATTTTGTGAATTTGTCATTTTGAGTCCGTGTTTATTGGGATATCAATGTTGTAACTGCTACGTTATGTCACCCTCTCGCATGGTAAAGATGGAACTGCTGCTATACACACTGCTTTTTTCTGCCATCTTTTCTTTGAGCACCAGATACATGAAGATTGTAATGTCGCCATGGTGTAGTGTAGCGCAAAATGCTATTATGACAGCAATTGCTCCTAATCACACCCACCGTTAAATTCTAGCTGGTGCTTACGAATTGACCTATTTTGACACAGTGTAATCTTGTCTGGAATATGTTTTGTGTTAAAAAGGTAGTCTGATTTATTTATTTTTATCTGTGTCAAATATAACTTTTTTTTTTTTTTTTTGGAGGGGTGACTGTGCATTAAATGTCTTTTCTCAGAAGTCATGGAGATTTACAGTGTGTTTTGCACAACATATGCTACTTGCACAGCTATTGCATAATAAGAGGATACACTTGCATTTTCTTTTAATATTTACTTTTAATCCTTGACCATTCCAAGGCTGAAGGGGGGGAGGGGGGGATGTCACATACATGTGAAAAACCTATAAAGAGAAATACACAACCAAAGTGTGACCTGTAAACGGAAATATCCAAAATGGTGGAATATAATCTCACTCACATGAGGGGGGGGGGGTCACATATGATCATGTGGTCATAGGTGCTAATGAGAGCGAAATTGGCAACTTGGAACACACTGGCCAAATATGTTGTTCCACCTCTATAGGAAGAATGTGGATGATTTGTAATCGTACCATGCTTCCAATTTTGCATGACAAAACATTCTGCTACTTGTGCTTTTAAAACCAATAATGTGAATGTCAGTTTATAGACAGAAATCGTTTCTGCTCCATTTCTTTTTATTTGGATCAATAGCAAGGTTTTATGTCAAGGTATCTTCCCTGTAATATTTATATCTAGCCTCTGCAGGAACACTTAGTAGTGTTAAAGGACCACTATAGTGCCCTGAGGGTGCCCCCACCCTTAGGGTCCCACTCCCGCCGGGCTCTGGGGGGAGGAAGGGGTTAAACTTACCTCTTTCTCCAGCGCCGGGCGGGGACCTCTCCTCCTCCCTCTTCTTCCGTCACCGGCTGAATGTGCATGCGTGGCAAGAGCCGTGCGCGCATTCAGCCAGCCAGTCCATAGGAAAGCATTCTCAGTGCTTTCCTATGGACGCTGGCGTCTTCTCACTGTGATTTTTCACAGTGAGAAGCGCAGAAGCGCCTCTAGTGGCTGTCAATGAGACAGCTACTAGAGGCTGGATTAACCCATAGGTAAACAGCAGTTTCTCTGAAACTGCTATGTTTATTTAAAAAGGGGGTTAAACCTTGCTGGACCTGGCACCCAGACCACTTCATTGAGCTGAAGTGGTCTAGGTGCCTATAGTGGTCCTTTAATGACTGCTCAAGGTCTTACAGAGAACTATTGTCATTAAGTGTATTCTATTTCTATTTTTTTTATCAATAAATTGTAGTAGATGAGGAAGCACCAAGTATGTTTGAAGGTATGTGTGCCCAGCCCATCCTTCTCTTCTAGTCTCTAAAGTCTGCCATGTCAACATCAGTGTGGGTACTGCATCCTGGCCGCCCTAATTGTGAGTGAGAAGGAGGCAGCCAAGAGTGTAAAGGAACCAGGTGCTTACTAGTGGTGTGATCTTGCTTACGTTTGGAACAGTGTTATGTGCAGCTGTTTATTTTATTTTATTTATTTTTTTAATATTTATTTTTTGGTGGGGGGGGATGTGGGGGTAAATTAGTGCCTGATGGGATAACACAATGTTGGAGATTCTGGGTACTATTACTACAGTCAGTGTGTAAATCCTTTGTGATGCTTGCGCACTGAGGTTTTTTTTTTTTTTTTACGTTTTTATTTTCTACTTAATTTTTTCCCATTGATGTCAATTAAAGGAAGGAAGATGAATACCTCGAATATATCTGTTTAAAAAAAAAATGGCTGTGACCTGTACATCTTTAAAAAAATAGCATTTATTGCTGTATGCTAATATATATTCTCAAACTTACATTTTCTTGTGATATTAGTTCTCTTTAAATATAAACACAAAGTATAATTATTGCTTTAGTTATTTTGTTTGCATAGGCAAAAGATCATACTCTTCATTTATTAAAAAAAAAAAAGAGGGCTTTATAAGCCATAAGGTATAAAAATGAGTGGATCTGCTTTCCAAAAATGTAAACTTTAGAGCTCACTATAATTTTACTTTCCAATACCATTTATACATTAAAATGGCTGGTACTGATCTAAAAAAAACAAGTCCACTGTATCTGTATGTCAGTGAGCGCAACAATTTTAACTACAACTTGGTATCTAATCCATATATTTGTTCCTCCGCTAATTCTCATCATTACGTTATTTCTCACCTTTAGTGAGCCCTGACCACCTTTAGTAGCCTTAGAACTAGTGGTGAACAACAGGGAAATATGGTAAAGACAGGGCAGCAATTTGTTTTGCTCTGCGTGCCACAGAACCATGGTAAAATAGTTTACTGATTTAAAGATATAAAAAGCACAAGCTACACGTTTTGCTATATCTTTTTATTGATACACAAGGCAGTTTAGATGATGTCTTTGTAAGTATATGTTCTTAGCCAATGGCAAGTCAAATAGTGCTCAGGCTTTGCTCAAGTATGTAAATGCCTAAATTGTAACAGTATTTTGAAAATGTCTGAAACTGGGCCTTTTTTTTTTTTAGTACAAATTGTTATGAAAGCTGTTTGTCATCTCTACTTCCTAACTTATTCTTTTTTAAATTTTATTTGTAATCTCCCAATCATCCTCCACACAGAATCAGGGTATCTCAAGCAAGCAGCGGTTTTCTACACTCAGGAACAGAGTATAGAATTCTGTTTATCCATAAAATAGTAAAGTAATGTATATGTTGGAAAAATCCAAGCAAAAATGTAAAATGACTGCAGCTTAGCCAAATGCGTTCAACAAGTAGCAAGCTTCAGAAGGGCATTACACCAAAACGAGATATTATGGTACATGAGCGACTTGTACATTGAACTAAGCTATTTTTTTCATGTTCTAATGCAATCCAGTCTTTTGTCTTTTTGCAGCATAATTCACTTTACGTAAGAAGGAACACATTTTGTTTCATTATATTTATTTTTGGCTAGGTGTTTGAGGTAATGACCTGCTGGGCATTTCCAGATCAATTCTAACTGTCGTACCTATCCGTGATTGTGTGTTTATAAATATTGAGTATTTCTGACACTGGAGCAGAGGAGATATCAGGTGCTTCCTACTCCAATTCCATTTCAGGCTCACTGTGGGACCTTTTTCATTCCACCCCTGTTTATATTCCATTGCTGATGTATTTGATGCAAAATAAAATTGACCAGTGATTCCATACTGGAGAAAGCTAATGTCTTATTGTGCACTTGGAGTGTATAAAGAATAAAGAAATTATTAAATAAATTTGCATTGTGTTCTGTACATGTGATACCAATTTCGGAGGACTCTTTAATTGTTAATTTTGCTGATATTGAGTCTATTGTTTGCAAATTTCAATAAAAATACGAAGTATTCTTGCTTTTTAGACACCTAAGAGGGTAACGTGTGCTTTGCAAATAAATGGTACTTTACATTTCATATTAATGAAATATCGGAAATTGAAATATATAAAACCAATGTTTTCTATATTTGTAAAATTAGTCAACTCTGATGTAGCCTATGAAAGAAATAATACAGCATTCTCAGATCGTGGTATGCATTTTTTTTTTTTTTCTTCTAAGATTGATATTTTCCTAATTCTGATGTACATAATACTGTTGGGATAAGAATTTCACTGACCTGTGAAGTTTAAGTTTGTTAAGGGTACCTTAGCTTGACAAATGTGAAGCTTGCAAAATAATGCTAGTCTCCTGAAAATTATGTGGTCTGTCCATATTGTGAAAGAAACACTCCAAACACCTGAAGCACTTCAGCAAGCTAAAGTGCTTAATGTGCGAAGTATTTGATTTCAATAAAAATTAAACTTGATATTGCATTGCCTGAAAGTTTCACTGGTCGCAGGGCTTCCTTACGCTCCTTTATCACGGACTGTGAAATCCTGTTTGTACTTAAACCCCGTACTTATGTCAAAGATTTTGTTAAAGTAACTGTCATCACCTTGTTATCTGGGCAACCCAAGACCTGGGCTCATCAACAGCTGTATGCCAAAAGCCCTGTATTGGAAAGCTGGGAGTCCTTTGCTACAGCCTTGACATCCTTGTATGAGGACCCCTTCCGTGCCTCCACAGCCCGGATATGTCTCCGTTCCCTTAAACAAGGAAACTGTCCTGTGGAAAATTACATCACAGAGTTCCGTGGCTTGTCATCAGACACTGGACTCCATGAAAACCGCCCTAGTGGACTAATTCGCCTTGGATTAACTGAAACCCTTAAGGATGAACTGGCACGAGTGGGAGTTCCAACCTCCCTGGAAAAATTAATGGTGCTAGCCACCCAGCTGGATCGCCGGTTCAGAGAAAAAAAAAGGCAGGAGCGATTTGAAACTAACCCTCTGCCTGATCAACGCTCCCAACCTGCCGGTGAGACCTATACTCCTATCCCCACAATGTACATGAACCCATGCAGATTGGAACACTGAATACCTTGCTCACGGTAAATGAAAAGGCCAGAAGGAGAGTTGAAGGCTCTTGTGGCAAGGGAGGCCATTATATCAGCTAGTGACTGATACGTCCTCCTCGCCCTAAACATGGCCATGCGGGGACTCTGTGTCACCAGCAAGTCCTTCATGGCAGCCTATGAAGCACCTCTGTTGCTGTGGTATAACTCTGCATGCGACCATACTGAAAAGCCCATCTAACCAGGTTGTTGGCACCATCATAGCCCTGGCTAACCCTGCTCCTGTTCCAGAGCCTTCCAATCCTCAGCCTCTGTCTCCCCTAATGTTTCCTGCTCCAACACAGATGATCTGCCCACAGACTGTGTAATTGCCTTTGAGCAGGCTCTTAAGGCCAGAGCTGCATATCAGGTGGTTGATGCTTCTTGCCTCCACTGCCTTTTTGAAGAATGACAACCTGCCAAATGTTCCAACATCCTGATGATGCAGATGCCTATACAGACCTGGATTCCAGAACCCTTCTGACAGCAAGGTGTGGCCACCACTTTAAGAGACCTGGCTGGGTGTGAACTCATGGCTCCAGCATCCCAGTAAGGTTCTCTACCCCCCTGTCCACCAGGGGGCTTCAGTATCTGTCTATCTGCTTCTGGACTCCTTGCCTGGATGGAGCAGTGATGATCCACCTGCAGCCCCTTACCCATTAGGGTCAGCTGCTCCTAATCAGCAGGCTCTAAAAGCCAGCTCTGCCTGAGACCTAGGATCAGGTCATTTTGTTTGTTTCCTGCTTGATCTTTGTTACTCTGCTGACTGATTTCCTGGATTTTGACCTCTGCCTGCCTTACTGATTACGATACTCCGCTGCCAGCCCTGACTTCTGCTTCTCATCTGACCCTGCCTTTGGATTACCCCTTTATCTGTAGTGTGTTTTTGCCTCCTCCTTGTGCCATCTCCTGGTAAACTGTTACAGGTTACATAGTTACATAGCTGAAAAGAGACTTGCGTCCATCAAGTTCAGCCTTCCTCACATTTGTTTTTTGCTGTTGATCCAAAAGAAGGCAAAAACTCCAGTTTGAAGCACAATTTTGCAACACTCTAGGAAAAAAATTCATTCTTGACCCCAGAATGGCAGTCAGATTTATCCTTGGATCAAGCAGTTATTACCCTACATTAAAGGACCACTATAGTGCCCTGAGGGTGCCCCCACCCTCAGGGACCCCCTCCCGCCCTGCTCTGGAAAGGGGAAAGGGGTTAAATCTTACCTTTTTCCAGTGCTGGGCGGAGAGCTCTCCTCCTCTGATCCTCCTCCTGGGCTGAATGCGCACGCGCGGCAAAAGCTGCGCGCGCATTCAGCCGGTCACATAGGAAAGCATTCATAATGCTTTCCTATGGACGCTTGCGTGCTCTCACTGTGAAAATCACAGTGAGAAGCACGCAAGCGCCTCTAGTGGCTGTCAATGAGACAGCCACTAGAGGATTAGGGGGAAGGCTTAACCCATTCATAAATATAGCAGTTTCTCTGAAACTATGTTTATGAAAAAATGGGTTAACCCTAGCTGGACCTGGCACCCAGACCACTTCATTAAGCTGAAGTGGTCTGGGTGCCTAGAGTGGTCCTTTAAAAGATTATATCCTTGAATATTCTGTTTTTGCAAGTATGCATCTAGTAGCTGTTTGAACATCTGTATGGACTCTGATAAAACCACTTTTTCAGGCAGAGAATTTCACATCCTTATTGTTCTTACAGTAAAAAAACCTTTCCTTTGCCCTAGACAAAATCTTCTTTCTTCCAGTCTAAACGCATGGCCTTGTGTCCTATGTAAAGTCCGGTTTGTGAATAGATTTCCAAACAATGGTTTGTATTGGCCCCGAATATATTTGGATAATGTTATCATATCCCCTCTCAGGCGACGCTTTTCTAAACTAAATAGATTTAAATTTGTTAACCTTTCTTCATAGCTGATATGTTCTATTCCTTTTATTCATTTTGTAGCCTGCCTCTGCACCCTTTCTAGTGCCATAATATCCATCTTTAGAACAGGTGCCCAAAATTGCACAGCATATTCAAATGGGGTCTTACCAGTGATTTATAAAGAAGAAAAATGATATTCTTGTCCCGAGAATGAATGCTCTTTTTCATGCATGACAATACCTTAGTGGCCTTGGCCACTGCTGATTGACATTGCACATTGTTGCATAGTTTGTTGTCTATAATTCCTAAGTCCTTTTCGTGTGTTGTTATCCCTAATTCGCTTCCATTAAGAGTATACGTTGCTTGTGTATTCTTTACACCAACGTGCATAACTTTGCATTTTTCAACATTACATTTCATCTGCCATTTGAGTGCCCAGTCTATCTAAATCACTCTGCAGCAAAGTAATATTTTGCTTACATTGTATTATTTTACAAAGTTTTGTGTCATCTGAAAACACTGAAACATGACTTTCAATGCTGTCTTCAAGATCATTTATAAACATGTTAAATAGAAGGGGTCCCAGAACAGACCTCTGAGGGACACCACTTGCCATCTCTGTCCAGCTTGGAAATTTACCATTAATGACAACTCTTTGTACTCTGTTTTTAAGCCAATGTTCTACTCAAGAACAAGCATTTTCATCTAGACCGATTTCCTTGTGTTTGAACACTAATCTATTGTGTGGAACTGTATCAAATGCCTTGGCAAAACCCAAATAGATCACATCCATGGCAACACCCCGATCTATACTTCTACTTACTTCTTCGTAGAACGAAATCAAGTTAGTTTGACATGACCTGTGTGCTTCATAAAACCGTGCTGATTATTGCTGATAACCATGTTCTTCTCATTGGGAATTCTGTGATTAGACAAACACAAAGTCTGGGCCGAGGAAGGAGGATTGCAAAGGCTGCGGATAAAAGATCATCTTTTCCAAGCTGTTTTTAGATATTCCCTCAGTAAAAAAAAAAAAGACACTGTATGCATTATTTTCATTTGGAGTACATCTACAACATTTTTATTTTTTTGTACTTGGACTGTGGTGTGTCAGTTTAAGAAATTAGATAACTAGACTTTCAAATTCTATTGATAAGCAGCATTATGTTAATAGTTCCAGGTAGCTGGGATGTCTTTCCTAAGCTGTACAAGTGTATTAGACACCTGGTTTAGAGCAAAGCAGGAGTAATTACCACATATAGCCGGTAGATGGCAATGCAGCCTACTGATATTGCCTGACTTTCTACAGCTGTTTATGATATGACCAAATTGAGGTAAGTAAATAGCATTTTTTTTTTGTGTATTGCAGTTAACTTATTCTATTTATAATAACTATATTTGCGTGCTTGCATTTTCAGGGTTACCTAAACATGCTCTAAAATCATGATGGTATGAAACAGAAGGTGCTCTTTACTCCAACACTTAACTTTATAGGGCCGAGCATTTCTTCTGTTTTAGGATACACACTACAAAATGGTAACAAATATTTTCTAAATTTATTTTTGTGAACAAACATGTATGTATTCAGATGCACAGTCTGTAAGGTAGATATATGGACTAAACTATTTTACAGAAGTTTGATCCAGTATCAGCATTTATACAGTGCTATCACTATGGAGAGCTTTACAATAAAAAAAAAAATGGGGATGTTTGATGACAAGCCCATGATAATGACAAGTATATTGTAAGGGTTAAAAGATTAATGACTTCTACAAGGACTGCAGGCTAGTGGAGAGTCTGATGGCACAGTGTAGATAACTCCATAGGAATGGGGCAATCCTTGAAAAATCACACTGATGAGTTAGCAACGTGGGAACAAGCAGTAATAGGAGACGGTCCAAAGGGACACCGTAAGCATCATAACTGCTTCATCTCATTAAAGTCATTGTAGTGTCTGTTTGTGTCATCGGCTTCAGAGGGCGGAATAGAAGGGGGAGAAGCAACCAAACACCGCATTCATGTAATGGACAACAGTACCGAAAGCCAAAATGTTCAAATGTCAAAATAAAGCACATCTCATA